TACCACCATTTACTGAGTGGCTACTATGTGATAGGCACTATACTAGGCTCTTTCAAACAACCCATTTTGATAATTCTGTTCATTTGACAGAAGGGGTAACAGAGAAAAAGGGGAAATAACCTGTTCAAGGTTAACAGTGCACAGAGAACAGGGACTCAGTAACAGATCTACTGACCCCTAAAGCCCATACTTTCTGACTTCACTGTCCAAAGTAAAGAAGGCCCTGGCTGGTGTGGCTCAGTGCACTGAGTGTCAGCCTGCAAACCAAAGGGTCGCCAGTTCGATTCCCAGTCTGGGCACATGCCTGGGTTGCAGGCCAGGTCCCCAGTGAAGGGCACACAAGAGACAACCACACATTGATGTGTCTCTCCCTCTCTTTCTCCCTTCTTTCTCCTCCCTCTAAAAATAAATAAATAAATAAAATCTTTTTTAAAGAGCAATGGAAGGCTTAGTTATAGGCAGCAGGATTTAAGTATAACTCAAAGAACTGTATAATTTGGATAGCTAATGAGGTAGGGAAAGACATTACAGAAAGGAAGAACAGAACCAGCAAACGCCAGTGTTTAGGGATGTTAAGAAAGCAAGTCTGCCTACAGCAAAGAGTGAAGAGAAGTAGAAAATACGGTTAATTTGGATTAAGATGACAGAGAGGATAAAAGCAAGGTAGAATGTTAAGATCTGATAGAGCAAACAACACAGAACCACTGTAGGGTCTTCGGGAGGTGGGTGGATAACAAAACAGGACTTCAGACGTACTGCTGATGGCATTATCAGGATGAACTAGAATGGGAATAAGGGCACTGGGAGTATGCTGTTGGAATACACATGTTGAGATCATGAAAACTTAAGTGGGTGGCAATGAAATAAAAAGCAAGAGGAAAATGTGAAAATAACTTTGAAAGAAAAACCTACCGAATTTCTTGATAATCGGTTTTAAAAGTTCAACTGCTCTTTGTTTTTTTAGTAAATAAAATAGTATCAATAAATTAGCAACATTAAATAACAGAAATGCTGTTATTGCATGCCCTCCTTGGGGCATGCCCACTTGAATCTCCTTTTTGAGTGAATTTTCTTTTTCCTAAATTCTAAAGACCCCCACAAGACTTGCAACCAGAGCAGCAAAGCCCAGGAACAGCTTGTCCCAGGCTAACCCTCTGAATCCGCCCTGAAGGCCCCTTTTCTCTGACCTTCCAGTGAACTGACCACAGCCCCGCCTGGGCTCATTCTTCCCCAGAACATTTGTAGGGAGCCAAAGCACCCTAGGCTCTCTCTTGTGGCTTCTTCTATCCTAGGCCTTTCCTTGTTTCACTCTCCCCAGCTTTCATAAACATATCCTCAAAATCGAAATTAAAACAAAAAACAGAAATGCTGTTCTTCAATTTCTTCAGAGTTAACTTGGAGGCTATTAGGTTTTTTCCTATTTTGCCTCAGCAAATACTTGCTCAGACCTTTCACTCCACAACAGGCAGAGTCAAGCAGTTTCCCTCTGCACCAGACACATAACTGATAACAACTCTGTACCGAGCAGTGATCCTTAGCTGTACCTGTAACAACCCACGCAGTGACCTGCCACATTTCAGGCTGATATGCTCAGCTATTGCAAACCCATGTCTGTCGCTAAATGGGTAGGGAAAAAAGACAGCTATTCTCTCATATTTCCAACGGGTACAGGTTCTTGCAGGGCTGGATGGATGTGGATATACGTCTCGGCTCATGTTCAGAATGTACACTTAGCTACGACAGCCATGGCTTAGAGAGGTTTGGGGGACAGGCACTAGCCTGATAGTACTAACTGGGTAGACACAGTGTCGCCATACCAATTTCAAATTCCCAATTCCTCACCAAAAATCCCAAAGGAAGAATTCTAATTCATATTGCCTAAGGTAAGATGTGGCAGGTACTACATAGTACAAGGAGAATGCAGCAAGAGTTCCAAGATGGCAGAAAAATCTCATTCATTCAAATCTACCACATACAATTTATCAAGTATCAAGACCCTACATGATATGACCCCTGGCTACCTCCCTGACCTTATGCTCTCTTCTCTAACTGCAATCAAGCCTTCCTTGCTATTTGAACACACAAAGAGCTTTCCTCTTGCTATTCCCTCTGCCTAGAATGCCTTCCCCAGTACTCGCAGGGCTCTTGCCCTTACTTCATTCAGGTGTCTACTCAAATGTCACCTCCTCAGAGAGGCCCTCCTTGACCAACTTATCTCAAATAGCACACCCCCCATTCTCTATTCCCTTGTACTGCTTTTGCTTCATAGCACTTATTATTCAATATTATTTATGTATGTGTGTGTATATATATATACACACACACACACTTGTATGCACACACACGCGCGCGTGCGCACACACACACACACTATCAGTGAAGGGATTTTCTCTTTCTTGTTCCTCACTCCATCCCCGGCATGGAGCAGGTGCTCAAAGAATATTTGTTGAACAGTAAATGAACAAATCTATCACATGCTTGGGAGTGAGAACAGTACTAGAAATAAATACAAAGATGAATCAAGTCACATCCCATGGTTCAAAGACACTAAGAGTCTAGCAGGGAGGTAGGCACATCACAAGAAGACGAAGGTCAGCAGCCTTGGGTACGCCTCATAGTTTCCTATGCAGAGTTAAAAAGTGTTAACTGCTGTAAAACTGTAATATTAATTAAAAATTATAAAAAGGCTAATTGCTGATCATAAGAAACAGACCTGATTTCAGATTCAGGTTGCCATGTTAGCTGGGTAATTATTTATCTTTCTCAGCATGTTTCCTAATCTACAAAATTAAAATAATACTGGTAATTACAGGGTTGTTATAAAATTAAGATAATGCATGTAAAGAATTTTTCAGGGGGAGGGGGTATAAGGGAACTAAATGGTAATGGAAAAAATATAATAAGGATTATATATTTTTTAAAAAGGATTTTTCATACTGCCTGGCACACAGTATGTACCCAAATGTTAGTTATTAATGTATTTAATGGCTGACTCCAATGTCCCTTGAGCCCAATTCCCAAGCTTAAATCTTATCAATTCTATCACCAAAGAAGCCTTCTCCTAACATTTCCTTCCTTTCTGACTGCAGTGTCTCCCTTCCAATTCAACATATTCATACATCTACAACATCTACAACATCTATATCTACATATTCCTGAAGAATTAAATCCAACCCTCCCCTGCCCCCCAGTTTAGCACTTAAAGCTCTTCCTATTTGGGCACCAACTTACCTTTCCAACCCTATTTTCCACTACTTTGTGGAGTCTATCACTCTGGCCAAAGTAAATCACTCTACTTTTCTATATATATCCTATGCTTTCCCACTACAATGCCTTGTCCATTGTACCCCTTCCCGGAATACCCTTCCATTTTTTATCGTCAAAAGTTCAAACTCTTTCCACCATCTTTCCAGAACTAGCTCAAATGCCATAATGCCTTCCTTGACCCTTCCCAGCTGAAAATGATCCCACTCTCCCCTGAACACCTAAATAATGTTATTTATATCTCTTCTATAGCACTGATCCCTTTCGACTTTCTGTATCGATTATGTCCTCCACAGGAACCCTTTTGAAAGAATCCATGCCAGTTCCCACAGTACTTATCACATTGCCTGATACTCAAATATTATGTAGAATGATTTCACAAAGACATATTAAGATTAAATTTAGCCTCAACAGAAAACTTTTGGCTTTGAATCAGACTTTTTAAATCAAACTTGTATTACAGCTCCCTCACAGAGAGAAAACAGAACACAAAGTACTGCTATATTTCCTAGCCAGAGGTCATATTAATTTTTTTATTTCTGGATTAAACAGACCACATACTCTTCTTTCCACTTTTGAATCACCCAGTCTCAATCCCTTCCCATCAGAAACTTCCCACTTCTCAAATTCTACATGTTGTACTTAAATTTAAAAGCAAAATGATACTCTGTTCTTTAAAAATACTGAAAATAACTGTGCTCAGGGCCAACTAGTTCTGCCTATTAACAGTATGGCCAAGCTTACAAAACACACAATAACAAACAAGGATGATGATCACCATTTTTTCAAGTAAAGTTGCTGCTCCTCTCCTGTTTATAAGGATGAGCTGATTCCCAGGCACAAGAAATAGCCTATATTTGACTCATTCAGCTGGTCTCACTGACACTACTGTACTTGTGGGGGTGAAGTTTTAAGACAATGACCTTCTGAAATCCACCACCAGCCCTACCATGTCTGTCTTACTCAAGTCCCTGAGTTTCTCTGTGTATCAGATTTGTTCAAGAGTCGGTAAATAGTGAAGGAAAACAAAAGTTTCATCGGCTTGAAGTACAAAGATACGTGCAAATCTTTTGCTACAAAAGACAGAATAATATGAATTGAAATGTTTACGGTGAATTCTCTTCGTTAAAACGGAAGTTATCTCATCCCTCAAATACAAGTCATTGTATCTGGTTTCCAAATTATTAAAGGAAGAACTGTTTTTTAAGTCACCCAAACACACGCCCTCTCCACTTCCCTTAATTGAAAGCTGCTGATTCCCAAGGAGCCAGAGCTGAGCAGAACGTAAACCTAATGTCTACATCAGTAAAAAACTACCGATGCAAACTAGCCAAAGAGGAAAGAGAGGTGGGGGGCGGTGGCGTGGGGGAGGCGATGACAGGAAAATATTCGGCTGACCACTGCACCAAATCAACTCACGGATCTCGAGGTGACACACACACACACACATACTCCCACACTGGGGCTGTCAGGACTGATGTTTTGGCCCCAACATCATGAGGGCATAACTCTTAAGGAGAGACTCAAGCTTCCTTCCAGCTGGGGCTCGGGACCCTCGGGAAGCCTGGGCCTGGCAAGACTCGGAGATGACAGCTCGCCACCCCCAGAATGGAAAGCCCGACAGGTCTTCAGGTGAGGCCTTTGCCGCAGCCCGAGACGGGCTCCGCGTCGCGGCAGCTTCACCCAGGCCTGTCCCTGGGACGCCCCTCGCACCCCAGCTCTGTCCCCCGGCTTACTGGCTTGGCTGATCCGCTGTATATTGCCGCTGCATGTCTGGATGATGCTGCTGAAGTCCCGAAGCTGGGACCCCGAGGGCCCCGGGTTCCGGTACATGTCTAAGGGACCGTAAGACATAACGAGGAGCTGAAACTGACTCGCCCTGTTCGGCGGTCCCACCGGAAGCAGCCACCCAACAGGACCGCAGACTGGGAAACCGGGAAGAGAAAGGGCGGGGAAGGAATTGAGGCTGCGTGCGCATTAGCCCCGCCCCCTCGCAATGCGCACGCGTTCGCCCCGCCCTGCTGTACTGTGCGCCTGCGCAGCCAGAACTAATGTCGGGAGCAGTAGCTTAGAGACTGGACGCTCTGGGCGGGGCGGATGCGCGTCGGAGTGGTGGCGTCACACGGCTGGAGCTGGGATTGGATGAGTTGATGTAGCTGGCGGTACAGTTTCTCGCCAGGGCACGGTGACAGAAAGCAGGAATTTTCGATTAGCCAGATGATCTCAGCCCTAACATGTTCTATTCTGAGAATTCAGGCTCAAATATGGGAATATTCGACAATGTTGAAACTCAGATCTTTAACCAGACTCCTGAAATTCCTCACTCTACTTCCATCCTTTGGCTTTGTTAGTGTTTGCGGAGTACTTTTATGGTTTACAAACCGCTTTCATTTCTCCTCCCACCCCTTTCTAATCAAAATGATATGATAATAATTTATCGAGCACGTACTATGTGAGAATTGTCACTGCAATACAGTTGTTCGTAAGGTCTTTCACAGCAAGGGACCATGTTGTAACTATGTTTTTCCTTCAGGATAGATAGTAAACGATCGATACTTTAATTTTTTTTTCTTTTTAATTGTTGCTCAAGTACAGTTTTTCTGCCTTTTACCCCAATCCCAGCCCACCCCCGCCCCAGCTCTCCCCACCTCCCTCCTGTTTCCACACCCCCCTTGTTATTGTCCCTATGTCCTTTATACTTGTTCCTGCAAACCTTTCCCCTTTTCCCCTGAAATTCCCTCCCTCCCCAGTCCCCTCTGGTCACTGCCAGCCTGTTCTCAATTTCAGTGTCTTTGGTTATATTTTGCTTATTTGTTTGTTTTGTTGATTAGATTCCTGTTAAAGGTGAGATCACATGGTATTTGTCTTTCACCACCTGGCTATCGATTGTTTCAATGACAAAGTAACTGAACAAAGTAAGCGTTACTGTTTTTCCTTTACAATTGAGAAAATGAAGACCACAGGTTAATTTGCTGTCATGAGATTTGACTGCAAAACCCAAATACTAAACCAACTCCATTGTCATCTCACTACTTTCCTAAAACGCACTTGCATGTTCCCAAATTCATTCTTCATTTAAAACTTGGGCAAATGGCATCTTCGTTTATATCCCAAACCAAGATATACCCTCAAATGATTTTAAATCATTTTCTTAAGTCATTTGGAGTGTATGTCCTTAATGTTCCTAAAGAAGACTGCATTTTGGGAGCTTATGGTAAATGGAAAGACAAGGGTAGGATTTGGGTTTGGGAGATCAAGATACGGGGAAGTGAAGGGGAATCGCGGTGTTTGCTTCCTGTGTTCTCCACCCCAGCCCACCCTAGCCTGCTTTGCGATCTCTGGGGAATGGCAAAGAGAGGAAGAAGCTGCTTGCGGGAGGGGACCCCCAATGGGTGAATGAGCCTGTATTCACCCTTAGTTTTTGTAAGCTAGTCTATCTCTATTTTTTTTTTTTGTTGGAGCATTTATAAGAGCATTCCTTTCTCTATAGAAAGGAACAGGTAACATTTGGGGGCTCTCACTCTGGTTAAAACCCTACCATTTCTTAGAATCCATAGTTTTATGTCATAGCAAATCAGGTAAATTGTGCTTTCCAACTAAAATAGTCTTAAAACTGTAAAACAGTCTTGAGAATATTTTCGTTTACATTGGTCTCTGCAAAGTGAAGCTCAGTAAAGGTATTTTTCTCCTAGCAACTGAAGATACAGTGGTGGTTTTTTCATTTAAAATAAATAGTGGTTATCCATCTGTATCCTGTGCTATCTTGTCCTATCCCTTCATCACCATACGTTTGTGCCTTGCAAATACTAGATGTCAAATGAACATTTCTCGAATTTGTACATGAATAATAAAAAATCACTAGCATTTCTTAAATGCCTACCTAGCCAATGTGAACAAATTTTACAAACTTTTATCCATAATCCCCAACATAAAGCCCATGTGGTAAAGACCACCTGTGGTCTGACAAACTTAGTTTTATTAACTGAAGGCTGTAAGGCAGATGGCACACCAGAGGAGTCGTGGAGCATCACACCAAGCACGGGCAGAGATACTTATTCTAGGGTTGGGGAAAAGATGGAGTGTGGGTAAAATTTCAAAGAAATGGTGTTTTGATATAGCCTCAAAGCACACCAGGCTGTTTGTAAAGGGATTCTCATCAGGCCTGAGATGATAAAGAGACTGGAGGTCCTGTTTCCTTGGAAACTACAAGGCGAAGATAAATGTGGAATGTTGTATCTGGAAACCCCTTATCTGAAGCTTTGCACCTGGGTTGGAAATTGAGGCTGCTGCTCTGTCAAAGTAACTCAGATCCTCCAGGCGAGAGTGGAATATTCCATTCTTACTGATACTTCAATTAGCAGCTTTTCTAAAATCTGATTTTAGAGAATAAGGTTTCTTAGCTTTATGTCCTTTTGTTAACTGACAAAAACAGTTTTCACGGTTGGCACCCATCAAGATGAGATTAGCTCCTTGGTAACATATAAGGAAATCCACGTTCTCTAGAGGTTCTGGGTACTTGCCCGAAGTCATACAGCTATTAAGTATCAGAGCTGTGTTTCACACATATTCTATGACCCAGCAATTCTACTCCTAATTATACACTCAAAAGATATGCACACATATGTGTTCCAAAAACCAAGTATAGGAATGTCCATAGTAGCATTTTTAGGATTTGTTTCTCTATATTGTGTTATTGTTATAATTGACATACAATAGAATGCACAGATACTGTGTTCAACAAATTTTGACACTTGTATATACCCATGTTACCACCACCCAAACCAAGATATAGAACTTTTATCATCACCCCAGAAAGTTTCCTTGAGCCAGGCTCCTTTCTAATCAATTCCACTTATCCACAGAAATCACTATCTGATTTTTATCACTACACATTAGTTTTGCCAGTTTTTGGACTTCATAGTGATGAAATCATATCTTATGTATTCTTCAGTGTTTGGCTTGTTTCAATTAACATGTTTTTTTAAGATTTTTACATTTATTTTAGACAGAGGGGAAGGGAGGGAGAAAGGGAGAGAGAGAAACATCAACGTGTGGTTGCCTCTCATGTGCCAACTGGGGACCTGGCCCACAACCCAGACACGTGCCCCAACTGGGAATTGAACCAGTAACCTTTTGGTTTACAGGCTGGCGCTCAATCCACTGAGCCACACCAGCCAGGACTAACATGATGTTTTTGAGGTTTACAATGTTGTATCTATCAGTGGTTTGGTACTTTTTATTGCTAAATAAATGTATAAGACTGAATAAAGGCATAAAGATAATTCACACAATAAAGGTGGTCATAAATATAGCCCACTGTCTTACTCTGTTTGGGCTGCTATAACAAAGTATCACAAACTGGGGGACTTATAAACAACAGAAATTTCTCCCAGTTATGGAGGCTGGAAAGTCTAAAGACCAAGGTGCCAGCATGTATTGTCTTACGATAAGGGCCCTCTTTCTAGTTCACAGCTAGCACCTTCCGGCTGTGTCCTCATGCAGTGGAAGGTGGGTCGGAAGCAGCACTAGTTCCATTCATGAGGGCAGAGCCTAAGCACCTCCCAAAGGCCCCATCTCCTAATACTATCACGTTTGGGGATTAGGATTTCAACATACAAATTTTGTGGAGAACACAAACATTGAGACCATAGCACCTACAAAATAAAACTGTCTTCATTTATTTAGAGAAAATAAGTTGGCACTGAGTCTATAAAATAGTATGACCAGGATGTGACAGTGACAATACCTGTTATTAAACTATTAGCACCAAGGTTTCAAACTAATACCTTCCTCACCTTCTTGAGATGGCATCTCAAAAACCTCTCGCTCATACCTTATTGAAATTCATCTTGCCCTGGCTGGTGTGGCTCGTTGAACTGAGCACCAGCCTGCGAACCAAAAGGTCGCTGGTTTAATTCCTGGTCAGGGCACATGACTGGGTTGTGGGCCAGATCCCCAGCTGGGGATGTGCGAAGGCAAATGATTGATGTTTCTCTCACACATTGATGTTCCTCACCCTTTCTTTCTCCCTCTCTTCCCCTCTCCCTAAAAATATGTAAAAATTTTTTTAAAAAATTTAAATTCATCCTATATATAATTTTAAATAATCATGATGAATATAAAACCAAGAAACAATGGCAGTGTCCAATATTCCATGAAATGGAAGCCCCATGAGGGCAGTAACTGTTGATTTTCCTCACTGCTGTATCTTCACTGCCTAGCACAGTGCTTATAATGAAGCAAGTACTTACAATGGATAAATAAAATCACAGAAGAAAGAGAATGAGCTTATTCTCTGATGGACATGAAAATCCCTATTAGCATAGTTAGGGTTTTAATTTCTTAAGTCCTTAAGCAAGACAAACTGTTCTAAGTTGAAGGGGGTAATAGGATTTATTGGTGAACCAACAGGAAATAAATGAGAAAAAAAAACACCTAAAATTATACTTGAGTCAATATGAAGTTTTATTAACACACATTTGTCAAAGTCTGTACAAACCAAAACATTCCTATGTTTTAAAATGTCTGTTATTACAAACATACAAATAAACAAAAGGTGTTACCAAAAGTTAGCTACTCAATTTTATGGTAAAACGTTGTCATGATTTTTAAAAACCAAAATTGCAAGACTGAGGTTTCTTCTTTCCCTTTTGAGAACTTGTGGAAAGTTAGAAAAGGTGTGAATTTGCTTTATATTAAGTGCCAAAACCTTAAAAAAAGATTTAGTATAAAACTAAATATGTTTTTATAGTCACTTCATGTAACAGAATTTCTCAAAAGTCTTTAAAAAAACAAAAAAAATGACTTTTTTCACAATCTTTTCCCCACAGTCAGTGTATATGCATCTGAAAAATATTATCTGACAGTTTGTCTTTACCTAAAAGTTTCTCATTCAAAAAGTTATAAAACTATTTAGCACTGCCTTCTCCCTCGCCTGAAAGGAAAAATTACATCCCCTGCGAGAGTGATACAGAAACAACACGGCCCGTTGTTTCTCTTATCAGGAGGAAGCCACTCACTTCCACGGCTCTGCCCCGTTCCGTGCGTGGTTCCGCCTGCGAGAACGCTGTCACCACTGGTGTCTGCTTCTGGGAAAGGCCTAGCAAGTTAAACTTGCTGCTGCAATCCGGGGAGATGAGGTACAAAGGTACTCCACCCTCATGACTGCCTCTAAGTCAAGCACCCCCTTGCATGATGAATGACTGACTCCAAGGGAGTTGATTTTACTGTTTCATGGCACACTAAACATCTCTAACTTCTTTCACAAACATCACATAGAGGACCTGAGAGCATGACAAGAAACGCAGACTTATCCCCTCTCCTAGGAAAGTAAATTCATGTGCCCGCTTACCAGGTCAAGAAGGGAAAACAGGACATAAACAATTATGGCTCAAGCCAAGCTGCTTTTGAGAAGCACCTGTTTTCAATACATTTCTGTTCAAAGGGAGTGTACAGGCTGGGGTGGGAGGGGAGGAGTGGGGAGAAGGTACAGTGATACCATTTCTTTCAGTCAGACTCCGGGTCCATACTTGAATAGCTTATACTGACCTGGAAAATGCTTTGTAGTTCAAATATTATCCCATTTTGAATCTGCTCATGTAAAAAAAAGTTCTCTCACAATGGCCAAGTATGACAACTGATATAAGCAAGTAAGGGTTTTGGTTGTTTGTTTGCTTTTTTTTAAAGAAGTGGCAGTGTGAGACTTTAAAAGCTGTCACATGAAACAATCAGAAAGGGGTGCGAGAGGGAAATGTCCAGTACAACCTGGACAACCTTTCTCCCTGCCTTTACTTGTAAAGACAGGCTGTTCAGACTGCTGCTACCTCCCTAAGAATCTTCTCAAATGCTCTTCCAAGACATCCTCCAAAAGGCACTTAACTCCACACTTATGCATTGAATTATTTCACCTTAACAATCAGTTGTTAAGACTCCAAGGTAACAAGAAAGAAAAAAATTGATTCTTTTACTAAAAGCTAGAGTAGAACTTTTTTTTTTTAAAGAGGCATCACTTTTACAAGAAGAACAAGCTAGGCTACCATTATTCCTTTATCAAGAAAGTTTCTTTTTTAAAAAATAAATAAAACTCTGGCTATACATAGTACAAAGTTCATACATAATATACCTGGAAAAAAACCCAAGAGTATACCCTGAAGCAAAAGGTTTATTGGAGAGAGAAAGCCTCGTCCATTGTACCAAGTCTTAAGGTGGCAGTTTTCCAAAGTTCAGAGGGTGGCAGTGATATGAAATTAATGCCAAACTATTTGCTCATGGGTGTGGCAGGATGCAACGATGGACAAAACATCATTCTGCACGTGACACTGAGCAGTAACCACCACAAAAAAAGAGGAGGAAAAAGAGGGAGGAAAGAGTAGTTCCAAGAGAGAGACAGAGAGCTAGTAGTTCTGAGAGAAGGTGGGGGAAGGGGGAAGCGAGAGAGAGGACTGGGAGTGTGAAAGGGGGAGAGAAAAGGAGCTGGAAATCGCAAACATTCGAGCATGCAGTCACGACACGGCACAGACCAGGTGTTTCCATCCAGCCCACTGCAATCACACGAAGGATAACAGTAATAAAATAGAGATTTCTTAAGAAAGTTTGCAGTTCCCAAGTCTCCAACCCTAACCCAGAAATCCATGTGCTGTTACTGCTGTTACTGCTCCTTGCAGTCTCTCACGGAGAGGTGATAGCTCCTGATTTCTCCGACTTCTTGCTCTTGGACAAGGCAGCTGCTTGCTTCAGGAGCTCTCTGTTTTTGGCCTAAAAAACAATCAGCGCAAGGATGTTTCAGCAGGACAGAGTATGTTTTTCATGCAGATGCCAGGGCAGATGCAGCGGATCAGGAAGAGATGAACAAATTTTATTTTGTTTTGTTTCTATTTTTAAATATTTTTAAATTTTATTTGATTTTTTTCTTTTTAGAGAGAAAGAGAGAGGAAGGGGGAGAGAGAAAGAGAGCAAGACTGATTTGTTGTTCCACTTATTTATGCATTCATTGGTTGATTCTTGTATGTGCCCTGAACAAAGATTGAACCCACAACCTTGGGATATCGGCATGGCGCTCTAACGAACAGGGCTGTCCGACCAGGGCAGAGACGAGCAAATGTTAGAGAAATCAAAAGAAAGCCCTGTGGGTTCAGGGGAAAGAAGGTAGTATTTGCTGGAGGTTAATCATATACTCAGTCTCCTGGGAACCACTGCCACAAAAGGATGCTTTATCCATCACAAACCATGGAGTCCCCTAACGTGCTGGATAAACAGAATTTATGATTCATACAACTGGAATCATATCCAGTTTACCCAAAAATCAAAGAACCCTTTTATTAATTCCACTGTTTTTGAGGGGAAAAGATCAGAACACATCTAAGAGTGAAACAATAAAAGACATGTAAAAGGTGAATTAAAGCGATTTGTCAATACTTGAAGAAAAATGACCACTTAAAATATAATCAGCTAAACACACGAGTTACCACATAAAATAAGCAGTCACCTGCAATTGTTCTGTGACTTCTTTGTGGGTTTTCTCCATTTGGTTCATTTTGGCTCTCATCTGAGATTCTTGGTACTGAAAATCAGCCTTCAGCTCTGTGATCTGAGGGGAAAAAAGCAGAGTAACCTGAAGAAATTTCTGTACAATGAAAAATGTTTTGGTACCAGAGAGCTAAGTGGTCCCCCAAGTGAATGAAGTCCAGGACTCTCCTGAAGATCCATACGTAAATCAAAGCCAGGGAACTCCATATCCTGTTTTTTCCAAAGATTTCCTGGAAGGCACACAGGATCCTGAAGTAGTATTTTTGATACTTAACCACTAGCAGGTTAGAAAGATTTTATGTATACCTCTAAATACGCACCTCCAAATAAATCAGTGATTATAATGCACTCTGACCGCTGGTTTCAGAGGAGCCATGAGAATAAGAGCTGCTTCCATTTACTGAATTTTCACCCCGTTCTAAGCAAACTGACTAATTACTTCATTCAATATTATGATACTCCTGTGGAGGGTAATATTATTCCTCCCATTATATACGCGGAAAAAACAAGGCTTAGAAAGGGCTAAGTAACATGGCCAAGGTCATACATGTTCACAAGTGGCAGAGCTAGAACTCAAACCCCAGGCCTTCTTCTGTTAACTCTGCTATTCAAGGAGCAAAAGAAGACACACTTTGAGAAATGTGTGAGCCGAGTTTTGAGGTACAGGCAGCAACTGAAGCACGAAGGAAGGACAAGGGCACCCAAGCAAAGTGAACAGCAAAGGCACAGGCAGAAGGTGTGAGGTAACCAGGAGTTTGTTCTAATGACTGATGAGCATGGGGAATGGCAGCAGATGACACTGGAGACAGGCAGGACAGGAAGGAACCTAGAAGTGTGACCTTGATCCTGAAAGTTATAGGGAAAAGTCTATTTGTTTTTGCTGCTTTTAAAACCTTAACTTTGCAACACAGTAGAAATGAGTGTTTGTTTTGCCTCTATTTTGCAAAAATCCTTTTATGTGCCATTCTGATCTAGTCCATGAAGAAAATATACTTGGGTCCACTTTCATATGATAGTCATGTAGTAAAGTGGAAAGGATACTGGTCTCTTTATTTAAATTATGTATTTTTGTATGCTAATACAGTTGTCCCAATTTTCCCCCCTTTGCCTCCCTCCACCAAGCCCCACCCCCACTCCATCAGAATATGGGCCTCTTTCCATGAATCTCCACCTTACTGGAAGAAGAAAGCATAGAACAGTAGAAAGAATGATACAGTGCGACAGGTTTGAGTTTATTCCTTTGTTCTGCCATTTACTAGTTGTGTGAATTGGACATGTTATTTACTTTCTTTAGGTCTACTTCTTCTTCTATAAAATGAGGTGGAAATGAGATTGAAAAACTGCACCTGAAGGTTTTATGTCATAAATGTCTTTGTTAGCCACTGGAATGAATAATAGCATTCTAAACTTGGTAAAAGGCAACATACAGGCTCAGGGAAAAAACAGCTAGTTGTAGGGATTAGAATCCTAAGAAGAAAAATATTGGAGGCATTCTTTATCTATAAAACAATGATAATAATTCCTATCTCAAAGGAATTATTATGAGGATGAGTTAATACATATGAAGCACTCAGAATAGAGTTAGGCCCACAGTAAGCATCCGTCAGAAATTAGCTATTATTATTATCATCATTAAAATATTGCATTAAGGCAAAAATGAGATACTCTCTAAAAATGTGAAAATAAGAAATACCAGACATGAGCTCTGGCTGGTGTGGCTCAGTGGATTGAGCACAAACCTGTGACCTGAAAGGCTGCCGGTTAAATTCCTGGTCAGGGCAGATGCGTGGGTTGAGGGCCGGTCCCCAGTAGGGGGCGTGTGGGAGGCAACCCATTGCTGTCTCTCTCACACATCAATGTTTTTCTTCTTCTTTTTCTCCTTCCCTTCCCCTCTCTCTAAAAATAAATAAATAAAATCTTTAAAAAAGAAAAAGGAAAAAAGGAAATACAAGACATGAATCAGAACAAGGATATAAAAAGTCACCTTAGAGAGGAAGGATTACTTAGAATAGTAAGATTGTACTGAAGACATTAACGTGTTTAAAGAGTGAGTCCCTCAGGAGCGGAGCTGTCAGCAATAGAAGCAAAGTGACGCAAAAGCCACAAAGGAAGGCCTACCTGAACACTGTCCAGGGAGAAAGGAGACCTGGCCCACATATTTTGAGTTTTACTGTCCCACAGACATGATAGAGGCATCAGGTTCTCTTAGCCTGAGAGCATGAAAAATTCCAATTACATAACTACCTCCTTCTACCCTAACACCATGCTCATTCTGCACTTTCTGATGACAACCTTCTAAGGAAGCTCATGCTGAGAAAAATAGTACTCAGTTATGCGCCCCACTGTGAATGAAGAGGGAACACTGGAGTTTTATACAACATCTCTGTAAGCTTGGTTATCACGAATCGTCCCTGAGAAGTGTACGCTCCCTCCAAACGCAGAGAAAATCAACTTTCTAAACCCGCTGGGCTGAGGTGGATTCATTACAGTAATACCATGCCACACGTCCTCTTAGCAGACAGCAAGGCTCTCCCCAGGATACCCCAGCCTTGCCACTGGATCTCTCTCAAGCATCAATGATAAGTACCCAACAAACACCAGTTAAAGAGAGTTAGCACCATGCCCTATTCCACACAGCTTACCCTGACATTATTCTGACCCGAGAGGCATTAACTAAGCCATACCTTCTTCTCTTTCTCTAAAATCATTTGATCCTTTTGATGCAGCATCTTCTTCAGAGTGGCCACTTCTTCCTTCAGTTGGGCAATAATGACGAAGTGGTCAGTGCCTGGTGAGTCCAGAGCCAGGTCTGGGGAAAAGCTGAGTGAAAAAATGGAGACAAAAAAAATCAAAACTTGGATGGATAAACTTTTTTTTCCCTGAATTTTTGTAAGAGTTTATTTGAACCCTGGCTAGTGTGGCTTAGTGGACCGAGTGCCGGCCTGCAAACCAAAGGGTCCCTGGTTCAACTCCTGTAGGGGCACATGCCTGAGTTGTGGGCCAGATCCCCAGTTGGGGGCATGCCAGAGGCAACCACACATTGATGTTTCTCTCTTTCTCTCTGTCCTTCCCTTTCCCTCTCTCTAAAAATAAATAAATAACGGAAAGGAAAGGAAAGGAAAGGGAAAGGGAAAGGGAAAGGGAAAGGGAAAGGGAAAGGGAAAGGGAAAGGGAAAGGACTGGCTGGTTAAACGAGAGGATACGAATGAACTTTTTCCAGGTCTTCCAACACAGCCAGGGTCAGAAGTGAGCACCAGACAGAAGTGATGACTCTAAAGGCTGTGGGTCTTGGCTTAGGCCTTTACAAAGCAGGGCATTCAGAATGGTCCACTCTTTGAAATAATTTTTGCAGGTCATGGACCTGGCAGAGGTGATGGGACAATGTGTGCCATATCTACTTTCCTCAGATTGACCAGATTAGTTAAGTTGTTCAGAGAATAGTAAGGCTGACCATAAAGATAAACTTTATGGTTCCTTCTCCCATGTGATCTGAATATCTAAGTTAAGCATGGTAGAAGGAAGGTTCAATTCAAAGTTTAAAATCAATGATGCTAATTTTTACAAGGACAACTTGCATATAAACAAGCCTATATGCTTTTTATTTAAGCCTACATGCCAGTTGCTCCCGAAACCACCACTGGCTGGAAGGAGAACTGATTGAGAGGGATCTTCAGAATGGAAATGATCCCAAAGCTTTTAGGGGACAGTGTGTCAGGTGGCCTCACTTCAGGATGCTAGGGAAAGGAAAAAACAGTTGGGCTCATGGCTTTGCTGGGAAGCAACCCACTGTACCAACATGGATGGGATAATCTGGGTAGTAGGACAATGCAACTCACAAGAGGAAGCACTGCTGAGGAGAGAGGAAAAGAATAAAAATTTTCATTTAGACAGGCTTAAAAGGGAACAAAATCTTTAAATGCATCTCATTGTCTCCTGATCTAGCATCTGCATTGTGCTGTCTTTCTGCAGGTCAAGGAAGCACAGATCATCCCTTAGACAGAACACGCCTAACTACACCTTGTCTCTGCTCTGCCTCTCGAGTCTGACTTGTGGCCTGCCTGGAGGAGGCTACAGGCACAGGTCATAATGGAAAGCATCCCACTGTTGACTTCTTAGAATTAGTTTGGTGCAGTTATTTGTGGATTGCAGAATTTGACTGCTAATAAATCCAGTTATATGTCCCTGTCTTTTAATGACAAGATTTGATTTATGAACAAATATCAGTACTGCCAGTTTATAAGATATCAAGTGGCGAGCACAGTGACTCTGGGACTGACAACCACGCACTAGCACTAAGGCAACCCTGAAATGTATTCCCGTTTCAGGAACTGTGTACGCATTTCAGACGGAAGTGTGCACACACACTCCAGTTGGCTCACCTGTCTCCATTGGTTGTGATGGACTCAAACTTGGATTTTTTCTTTGGAATTTCATTTTGAATTGAAGACGTAGAAAGCGTTTTCTGGCTTTTAACAGCAAAAATAGAGAGACACACATTAGAAATCAAAGATTAATAAAACATCACAATAAAAGTGCCAAATAGAACCAATGAAATATTATAGCTTTTCTATGCAAGAGCTATTTATTCTTGATTATTAAAATCCACCAAGGTGTTGATTTTGTAGGTCCTGGATGCATGGGTGGCTTGTTTCCAGGGGCCTCCAAAACTCTCAGACTTAATGAAATAATACACCTGACTTTTTAACAACTACAAAACAGTCAATAAAACTTCAGTAAGAAGTATAATGTATCTTACAGTTCAAAAAGTAGTTTTACATTCAATGTTTCACATGCACCTTATAAAGCTGTGAGGTATATACAAGAGATTATTTCTACTTTGCAGAAACTGAGGCTCATTAATATTAACTGAGCCGCCCAGGGACATCCAGCTAGTTAAGAGTAAAGCTGGGACTAGACGCCAGGTTGACATATTTGAACTCCCAGCCAGGTTTTCCTTCACTGTGTCTCTGTGAATCCACTGGGATCTGGGTCCCACGACAACGCTAAAAGCCGGTGTTAGCCCTAATAAGTTCATCATCTAGAACCGGTCTGCAACCCATTCACCTTAACAGATGTCCAACTGCTAAGTTCAAGGATGCTTCAGACCCTTTCTTACTTGACATCTTTTCAACATTTGATACCACTGACCGTGCCATCCTTTTATCCCCCAACTTTGTTTGAACTTTATTGAAAATAATTGACAAATATAACTATATATATGTAAAGTGTATAATATGATGTTTTGAAATACATATACATTATGGAATGATTACCAAAATCAAGATAATCAACACATCCATAATCTCACTAGTTAACTTTTTTTTTAATAGAGAAAATGCTTAAGGTCTACGTTCCGCAACTTTCAGGTACACAAAATCATATTAATTATAGTCACTCTTCTGTACAGTAGATCCTCAGAACTTAACTCTTCTTACAACTCAAAGTTTGTACTTTTGACCTGCTCCAGGCCCTAGCAAACACCATTCTCTTCAGTTTCAATGAAATTAGTTTTTTAAAAAAGACTCCACATAAAAGTGAAACCACACAGTATTTGTCTTTCTCTTTTTTCCCTTAGCACGATGCCCTCCAGGTTCATCCATGCTCTCACAAATGGCGGAATTTCCTTCCTTTTTTGTGGCTGAATAATACTCCACAGTGTACACACCACATTTTCTTTACCCATTCGTCTGTTGAAGAACATTTAAGTTGTTTGCACGTCTTGGCTACTGTGTATAATGCTGCAGTGAACGTGGAAGTGCGAGTACCTCTGTGAGACGCTGACTTCATCCCTTTGGATATGGACGCAGAAGTGCTCGGTGGATCGTATGGTGGGTCTATTTCTAATTTTTGGAGGAACCACCATACTTTCTTCCACAATGGCTGTACCAATTTGCACTCTCACTAACAGTGTATAAGAGTTCCCTTTTCTCTATAACCAGGCCAACGTTTGTTATCTCTTGTATTTTTGATAATAACTATCCTAACAGGTATGATGGGGTGTGGTTTTGATTTGCACTTCCCTGACAAATTAGTGATATTCAGCACCTTTTCAAGTATGTACTGGCCATTTGTACGTCTTCTTTAGAAAAATGTCGGGCCCTGGCTGGCGTAGCTCAGTGGATTGAGCTCGGGCTGCGAACCAAAGTGTCACAGGTTCGATTCCCAGTCAGGGCACATGCCTAGGTTGCAGGCCACAGCCCCCAGCAACGGCACATTGATGTTTGCCTCTCTCTTTCTCCCTCCCTTCCCTCTCTAAAAATAAATAAATAAAATCTTAAAAAAAAAAAGAAAAAGAAAAAATGTCTATTTGGGTCCTTTGCCCGTTTCCGCCCCACCCCCACTGTACTTACTTTTTTTCCCCCTGCTATTGAACTGTATGAGTTCTTTATATATTTAGGATATTAATCCCTTATCACATATATGGTTCACAAATATTTATTCCATCCACCTTGAATGCTTCCAGAATTCTGTTCTCAGCCTGCGTTACACCAACAACCACCCATCACAGTGGCTGGCAACAGTATTCCTCAGATCACCTACATCAGAATCCTCTGGGATATTTACAAAACAATACAGATTCCTGGACTCTATCCTAGATCCTGCTAAGTTAAACTCTGAGGTAGGGCCGCAGGAATCTGCATTTTAAGTAGTCTCTATTCCCACTTAAGTATAACCAATGGCTCATATCTAAACTGCTTTTCTGAGTTCTAGGCTCAGCTCCCACTAAATAATTCTTTTTAATGCTTCAAACTCAACTTTTCAAAACTAATCTCTTCTCCCTTTCCTATATTCGCTGTAAGTTAAGGGTCTAGCCATCTGTCCAGATAAGACACCTGGGAATAATCCTTTCCTCACCCAGCTCCTGTCCATCTGCCTGTTCCTTCTCCCTCTGAAGCATCTTCCTGAATCTGCCTCTTTGATCTTCAGTGCCACTGCCTCAGTGAGGTTCTTGTATTAACATCACTTACGTGGACTTTACAAAAGAAAGCTTCTTAACTAGCACCCACACTCTTTTTCCTCCAGTGTATTCTCCACAATAATGAGGGTTCATTTTTTTTATTGACCCCATGATCAAGTTCATGCTCCTTACCAGATCTACAGAATCCCTTTTTCTCCCATTTCCCTGCTCCCAACCATAAGCTCCAGTAACATAGGAGGGTCTGCAATTCCCCAGAGTTCCATGTGGTCTCATGTCCTCCTTGTCTTTGCAGATGCTATTCCCTCAGCCCAGTTTGCCTCTGCCCATTCCTCAGCTGATGATTCCAACTCAGCCTCGGATGCAGCTCCAGCGCCAGCCAGCTCTTCCCTAAGCCTTCGTCATCTGACTTCCTAAGGCAGTTAATTATGACGGCCTCTCATGCCTGTATCTTGATGTTTCCACTGTGGAATTTGTTTCCATGCTTCCACAGAATCATACTGCAATGTTTGATTTCAGGTCTGCCTTCCCTACCAGACTGCATATTCTTGGTGAGCAGTATGATTCTTTGATTCATCTCTGCATTCCTAGCAAAGTCCCTGGCAGTACTTAATGTTTGCTATATGAATAAACAAAATCATAACAGTAATAATAACCAAGAGTAACTAAAATGTATTCCTATATGCCAGCTATAAAACTAATCACTATTCACGAACTGTAAGCAACTCTATGAGGTAATACTATTATTTCTCTCATTTTACAGATGAAAAACTTGCCCAAGATCCCATGCAGAGAACCTGGAAAAGCCAGGATTCAATCCACAGCCAGAACTCTTAACACTACCAGGAAAAACCTAGACCATCTATGAACCTCCTGGCCAAATAAATATACATAAAAAATCCTTATCTCTCACAAAATGAAATGCCCCATCTTCTAGGGAGATAACCCACGCTAAGGGTGAGGAGAATGTTACATGTGAAAGTGAAGTGGTAAGTACTACTAACTTTTCAGACATGATACAAACCAAGTCACGAAATTCTGACACCTTATGGAAGTGTCTCTGGCTCTTGGAAAATACATGAATTATAAAATATGACAAAGGAGATTCCTCCTATAGGCTAGTAACTAGAGAGGATAAATAGGAAAATTTATACAAAATGGTATCTTCCACAGCTGATTGTGTGAGCATTACATTGAACCTACCGGCACCTCTACTCCTACCTTACGCATCTGGGATTACCTGTTATAATGGCTACCGCTGCTCAGTCGGCTGTACTGCTCCTTCTCCTGGTGGCTGGCACGGGAAGAGCTGCTCAGATGCTTCCTCTGCTCTTTGGTCTTCTGAAGGACCCGTTTGTATGAAAGTGTGCAGAGCCAGCAGAGCAACTTCCCATCTACCTGGAAGATAAGGAGACAAAGATAAAGAAGACGGAACAAAGTACTGGGTACTACAGAACGTGACTGCAGGAAGCAAGAACCTCTGGACTAAGTCCCAGCTCTGCCACTTCCGAGCTGTGTGAACTTAGGAAAGTCACTTGAGCTCTCCCAAGTTCAATTTCTTCATTGGTAAAATAGGGGATAATAGTACCTATTCAGAGGGCTGTTGAATTTAGCGATATAATGTAGGTAAAGCATGGTGCCAGGCACATAAATCTTGTTTAATAAATATGAGTTACTAATTTTATGTATCTTTTTGTTTGTTTTTTCTTCAACTTAACAAACCCAGACCAGAGCAAAGTTTCCACAAGGATTTCAAGAGACACAAATATCTCCATTGTGTTCATTAAGTAAAGTTCAGCAGAGAGAAGATAGAAGATGAAATATTTGATGCACCAGGGTTGGGGGTTTGATACCCAGTCAGGGCACATACAGGAATCACCCAATGGGTGCATCAGTGGGTGGAACAATAAATCAATGTTTATTTCCCTTCCTCTCTCTCTAAAAATCAGTAATAAAAAATTTTTAAAAAGATTTTATTTATTTTTAGCGAGAGGGGAAGGGAGGGAGAAAGAGGAGAGAAATATCAATGTGTGGTTGCCTCTTACTCGCCCCCTACTGGGGACCTGTCCCACAACACAGGCATGTGCCCTGACTGGGAATCCATCTAGTGACCCTTTGACCGCAGGCCTGCACTCAATCCACTGAGCCACACTAGCGAGGCAAAAGAAAAAATTTTATGAAATATAAATTTATACTTCATAAAATTTTATGAAGTATAAATTTATACTTCAGTTTTAATACCTTATAAATGGGTAACAAAATGGTATGCTAGATATCTTTTCTCAGTCACAACGTCCCCAGAAAAAGACCAATGAGCAAGTAGTTTTCAGGACCCGGGGCCCCGTCGGTGGCCTACTGTGACACTCTGAATTACAAAAGTTACTCCCTTTGGGCAGAAGCAGATCTGCACCAGGGAGCAGGGCACAGGGCTAGGAAAGCGCAATGGGGCTTCCCAAATCCTCGGAAGCTGAGGCACCTCTGCGCAGCACCGACTGCAAACCTGTTTGTGGGGCAGCCTGGTGCAGGTGGCAGGGCCACAGAGCTGGCTGGAATGACACAGGGTAGGAAGGGAGTGTGATGATATTTTATGGAACTTTAATTTTCATGTCTTCTTTTGAAATTAGATCTTGTGCATCATCTTGAACATGGGTTGGCCACGCCTTCACTTATCTAAAGTATTTTTATCTTGTTAGCAAATTCCAGTTTGCACCCCACCCTCTAATCCATTAGCAAGCACAGCAGTCTGAATCTATCCCACTCCACCCAAGTAAAGCTCTTCCCCTAGCTCACAGCTGCAGGAGCCACCCAATGAGCTCCCTGATCCCGCTCTTAGGCTCTTATAAACCATTTTCACCCAGCTGGTGAAGACTTCTTAAATGTAAATCTGATTACATCTCTCCTCTCTTTAATCCGATGGTTTCTCATCCTATCTAGTATAAAATCTGAACTTTTTCCCTTGTCCTCTGTTTAAACTAGCCCCTACCTGCCCCTATAATCTCATTCCCTTTCTCTTCCCCTAGTTTACTCTACCTTCTGTTCTTCCCAAATGCCAAACTCACTTTTGCCTCAAGGACTTTTCATAGATGGGAGTTCCTCTTCCTGGAATCTTTGCCTTCCAGAAATACCAGGGCTATGTTCTCATCATTCCAGTTCCAGCTCCAATGTCACCTTCCTGGAGGTCCTCCTGAGTGCCCAATCCAAACTGGCCTCCCTAGTCACTCTCCACCATACACTCCATTTCTTTATAGCATTCATATATAAAATTTGTGTTAATTTCTTTCCTTGTTTATTTTCCCCCACTTCTCTCTCATACACATGAATATAAGCTCTGTGAGACTAAAGTCTTCCATTCAGTGCATTAATGTATTTCTAATACCTAGAATAGTGCCTGATACATGATAACATTTAATTATTTGTTAATGAACATATAAATGAATTTAGAAACCTAACTTCAATATGGTTCATTTCATGTTATGGGATATGGCCAGAAGGCCTGATTTTAAAACACTTTGGAAGACCTTGCTTAGTTACTAGCTTTCACTAAAGAAGGTTTGAAAACAAGGTAACTTCGCTAAAAGAGACAGCACTGAAAAAGAAAAATAGCACACCAAACCGCAGGGCACTTGATTTCAGATCTCTCCTTTAAAAATAGAATAAAAGTATAAAATTAGCCCTGGCTGGTGTGGCTCAGAGGATTGAGTACCGGCCTGTGAACTGAAAGGTTGCAGGTTCGATTCCCAGTCAGGACACATGTCTCGGTTGTGGGCCAGGTCCCCAGTTGGGGGTGTGTGAGAGGCAACCCATCAATGTTTCTCTCATACATGCATGTTTCTCTACCTCTCTTTCTTTCTCCCTTCCACTCTCTCTAGAAATAAATAAAATCTTTTAAAATGTATTTAAAATAATATAAAATTATCCTCTGGAAATTAAAGTATCATGAAGAAATCATCATAGATAACACCTATCGGGTACTTATCATGTACCAGATTCCTCTCCAAGGGCTTTCTACCTAACGACTCAACATTCATAGCAATGATCTGGTCTGATTAGCCTTATTTACAGATGAGGAAACTGAGGCAATGATGGAATAACTTGCCCAAAGCAAATTAAGTGACAGAACTAAGATTTCAACCCTTGCATTCTGAATCCAGACCACCCTCGCTCAGTCTCTAAGCTTAGCTCTCCTTAAGTTTACAAACATGTGACTCAGGATGCCTAAAAATACCCACACTCTTAAGGTAGGATTATAACTAAGAAAGTAAAAACTTAGTGAATTCTAGTATAATCCTAATAATAATAATAATAATAATAATAATAATAATAATAATGTCAATACCATTAACTGAGTTTTAGGCTCAAAATTAAGGATTTTATATATTTATCTCAATTAAGTCTCTCTATGTCCTTGTGAACTAGCAATTGTTATTCCCACTGGAGAAACGGTTAAATTGATGCGTGACAAGAGTAACTTGCCCAGATCATTCAGCTACCCGAGGTCTGAGGAACTGCAAAGTTTGTGCTTCAACTCTTATTATATGCTACTCCCTGATTACTAATACAGCATCTCCAGTATCTTTTTTTTTTTTTTCATAAGAGAAAGTTTATTTAGAAAGTCACAGAGGTAGAAGATGTGGGCTGCAGAAGAAATGGGCTCGGGAAACAAGTTACAGAGGCAAAAGAAGGGGCTCCTGGAGCTCAGGGGAGAGAGGTAAAGGTGATGCACCTGGGCGAAGGCCAGGGCGTGGGGGAGGACAGGGGGAGGGAGAGCTCCTCTCCAGTGTCTGGATCAGGAAGAGGTGCCCTGGTTGGCAGGCAGGAGTATTCTGGTCCCATTGAAAATTATTGAATTTGGTTACCAAGAGTCAGTTCTTGAGAGCCTAAGCATCTCTAAAAAGCACCTGAGCCACACCAGTCAGGGCAGAAAGTAGATCTTAAACGTTCTCATCACAGGAAAAAAAAATTAGGTAACTATGTATGGTGATGAATGTTAACTAGACTTACTGTGATTATTTCACAATACATACAAATTTCAAATCTTATGCTATATACCTGAAACTAATCTAATGTACATCAATTATACCTCAATTTAAAAACAAAAAGGTGGGGGTGTGCTGGGATAGGAGTAAAAGAGAGAAAACTGTACTTGAACAACAATTAAAATAAAAAAAGATAAATAAAAATAAAACAATCCATTTAGTCACTTTTTAAGAAACAGAAAATGAGTCCTGGCTGGTGTGGCTCTGTTGGACTGAGTGCTGGCCTGCAAACCGAAAGGTCACCTGTTCAATTCCCAATCAGGGCACCTGCCTGGGTTGCGGGCCAAGTCCCCAGTGGGGGGTAAGTGAGAGGCAACCACACATTGGTGTTTCTCTCCCTCTTTCTCCTTCCCTCCCCCCCTCTCTAAAAATAAATAAATAATATTAAAAAAAAGAAATAGAAAATGAGAACCATCTTTTTTTATCAATAAATAACAGTAAGCTGGAAGATATTTTTCAGATTAATATTTTGGTCATGTCAGATAAGACACCTAAAAAGGAAAGGAGATAGTTTTCAATAAAGTATGACTCTTATCCACGTAAACTCTATCTGCCCCGACCAGTGTGGCTCAATTAGTTGGGTGTCATCCCATAAAGCGAAAGTCACTGGTTTGATTCCCAGTCAGGGCACACACCTAGTTTGCGGGCTCGGTCCCAGGTTGGGGCACATGCAAGAGACAACCAATTGATATTTCTCTCTCACACTGATGTTTCTCTCCTTCTCTTTTTCCCTCCCTTCCCCTCTCTCTAAAAATAAATACGTAAAATCTTTTTTAAAAAAAGATAATTTCTCATAATGTTAAAGCTATGAAAATAATAAAACAGGGTAATATGATAAAGAGGACTGAGGGAGTTAGGAAAAGATAATAGTAAGGAGGTGGCATCTTGAGCTGAGACATGACACGAAACACCACTTAAGACACTCAAGGAAGAAGTATTGGGCACAAGGACAGCCAGTGCAAAGGTGGAAACGAGGCTGACGTGCCGGAGGGACTGAAAGATGGCCAGTGTGGCTGGAACAAGGAAAGAGGCGGAAAGGGTGATGGCGAATGAGACTGGGAGTCAGGTCTGGGCTTTGGAGGCCATGAAAGGAGTTCGGGTTTTATTCTCAGTGCGACTGGAACTCACTGGCTGGCTTTAAACAGACAAAAATCTAAACCATTTTGATGCCACCAGGATATCATCATTTCACATACAGCTTCCCTCCACGTCACCTTCTTGTGATCTTTAACTTCAACAGATAGAAACATTTACAGAGCCAGACAATAAAACCAGTGGGGAGTACAACTCTCTTGGCTGAGTCCCAGTCTCTCCTTTACAGAGTTCTGTAGAATTCCGCCAATCACCACTTCACTCATGTGGGATGCTGATCACTGTAATTCAGCTTCTCAAGAAATACTAACCCATGAGATATTAGATGTAAGGGTCCACATTTGATAGTGAAGAAAACAAAGGCGGAATATGTCCTTCAAGGTCAATAACAGAAGTAGGAGTAGAAGTAAGAAAATCTCTGTTACAGGTCTTTTTTTAAAAGGGTTTTACATATTTTTAGAGAAAAAAAGAAAGGAGAAAGAGAGGGAGAGAAACATCAATGTGTGGTTGCCTCTTATACGCCCCCTATTAGGGACCTGGCCTACAGCCCAGGCGCATCCTCTGACTGGGAATCAAACCAGCGACCCTTTGGTTTGCAGGCCCATGGTCAATCCGCTGAGCCACACCAGCCAGTGCCGTGTCTTTTTTTTGTTGTTGAATTTATTGGGATGACATTGTTTAATAAAATTATATAGGTTTCAGGTATACAATTATATAATACATCATCTATGTTTTTTTAAAATTCATTAATTTGAGAGAGAGAGAGACAGAAACATTGATTTGTTATTCCACTTATCAATGCACTCATTGGTTGCTTCATCTGTGTGCCCTGACTGGGGACCAAATCCGAAATGTTGGTGCATCAGGACAACACTCCAACCAACTGAGCCACCCTGCCAGGGGGTGATATGTCTTTTTGACAAAACTGGCCCACCTTATTTTCTCTGAAAGAAAAAAAAATCAAGAAAAACACAGAAATGTACCTTCTTTCTGTCGTCTTTCCTGTCGAACGCACATTGCTGCTTGCACTGTTCACAAGAGTACGGTGGGCCGTACTTCTTCTCTGAGTTTGTGCAGCGCTGGCATTTGTTGCCGATAAAGGCTGCAATGATATTGCAGTACTGACAAGGTTTGGGCTTAAAGAGAAAAAAGGTCAAGTAAGTATATTAAAAGACACCAATTCCTTTTTTACAGCAATGATTCCTATTACATAGTCCATGAGTCGTGGTAAAAATGTATTCCCAACTCTACAAATTTCCTTTCACACTGACTGATCAAGTGAAGCCCAATCTCTAACACTATGTAAAGTGTTTTTATGCAGAGGGCTATTGATTATAAAATAAATAAATGAACAAATAACAAAAACCCGTTATATAGATGCTGGGACTTCTATGAGAAATTTCATAGAACCAGCTCTTTGGAGAAACCAGCAAATGATTGAAACTTCTGGAAAAGGGCTCTTTGCCATTATCATTATAGAAACAGGTTGGGAGAAATGCCTATAACAACATGTATTAGGGTACCTCCTGAACCCTAATACTGAGAGAAAAAAAAAATCATTCATCGAAATGAACAGTCTACTGCTATCAAACAAAGAGGTCAAGGCATAGGACCCATCTGTCCCCTCCTCTCTCCACACTAGTTACCGAAGCCTCTCAGGAAAATTATAATCACAGTCCTGATACAGTGACTATAAACACAGAACTCCTCAATACTGAGAATTAGCTGAGTTTGCATTTTTATGATAAAGTATTTACACACATCTAGTTATTCTAATAAAAATATGGTAATCACATTAACAGTCCACAGAATGTAAAGTTCCGAGAGACCTGAGCACTCACTGTTAGGTACAGAGAAATCTACTTACCGTTCCATACAACTGCACATTCTGAGCACATTTCTTGCATATTGTACTGGTTTTACTGCAAAGGAAGAGAGAGACACAAGGCTTCTGTAAGAAAAAAGTTGTTTTACTTGGAACATCTGAACACTGATTCCTCCTTAAACCCAAAGAATAGGGTTATTGCTAAGTGCCAAGGTGAAATACAGCCTGGATACTTGGTTAACTGAAGGTTGACTATCTGGCCAATAACTCTTTTAATTATTATTATTTTTTTAAGATTTCATTTATTCATATTTAGAGAGGGGAAGGGAGAGAGAAATACACCCCCCCCCCCCCAACCAGGGACCAGGCCCACAACCCAGGCATGTGCCCTGACTGGGAATGAAACTGGTGACCCTTTGGTTCATAGGCCAGCCACTCAATCCACTGAGCAACACCAGCCAGGTCTCTTTTAATTATTTTGTAGTTATTAATTTTATTAGCTCAGATAAAATAAGGCTTTAGTTTAGAATAGTGAGTTATTTCTGCCCTGGACGGTGTAGCTCAGTTAGTTGGACATCGTCCTGCAAAGCAAAAGGTCGCCGATTTGATTCCTGGTCAGGGCACATGCCTGGGTTGCAGGTTCAGTCCCTGGTCAAGGTGAGTACAAGAGGCAACCAATTGATGTTTCTCTCTCACACTGATGTTCCTCTCCCTTTCTCCTTTTCTCCCTCTCTTCCCCTCTCTCTAAAAATAAATAAAATCTTTAAAAAAATAAACTCTTACAAATAAATTAAAAAAAATAGTGAGTTATTTCTGATTATGACATCTCCAAGTATCACTATGTAAAATGATCAGATATGGAGAGAACCCTGAAAAGAATATTATGTTAGACTGAACTAAACTAGCAGAAAAGAAATTAATTCTCCTCAGTTCAGATGAATAGCTGAGAGTTTGAGGTTAAGGTTAAATATATGTGTTTAGAGTATGAACTCAGAGATTGAATCCACGTTGACCTTTCTCCATCTATGCTCACCTCTACATGTAAAAGAACATAAAAATCACAGATGTGAGGATATACATGTTATGACCAAATATTTGTCAATATTTCCAGTTCCTCTAAGTGCCAAGGAGTGACCAAAATAAAAATGTCTTTTGCCAGAAGTCATAATATTACCTAAATGCCTGAACTGATAAATAGCTGTGGGGAAAAGTGTCACATTCAACTAAAGCCTAACCCTTCACAACGGGAGGTACCCACAAGTGCTTGATGTACAAGGACAGTTTAAGCAATATTCTGGAGAGAAAAATAAAATCATACAAAAAATCCAGCCTATTCACAATGTTATGATTATTTTACCATACAATTCCTATGAAAGTGAACATAAAGTTAAAACAGACAAAAGAAAAACCTTAAAGTAAAAAACATTTAAATTAAAATGGGATGCTCAAACAACATATTTTCCAGGGCAACTTTCTGCCACTTTAAAAAGCCAGTACAAGAAGTGAATGAAGTACATTGAGAGAGCTCTAGAAAGAGGATTAGCATCAGTGATTCTATGATACCGAACATTTTGGTGTACACTTCGATTTATTATTAAAGGGGCAGGATATATATCAATACACACAAATGTTTTGACATCCTAAAAAACATGGAAAATAAAACTGTTTCCATGATCCATCTCAAATTATTTGTATGTATGGTGTAAATTAAGGATCAAACTTCATATTTCACTCCACACACAAAAATTAAAAATGGATGGATCCTAAACCTAAATATAAAAGCTATAAGTATAGCTTCTAGAGTATTCTGTGTGTTTCCATGTGTGAGCTACCAAACAGACCCCACCATGCTTAAGGCACTACCACTTACAGGTGCAGTTCCACAAAAGTTGAACTTACCGTATCCATAAACCACTCATTACATCAAAAGCCCCCCTTCCCAAAGATGTGTGTTCACTCACACCTAAGCGTTTTTCATACTCTTTTAAAATATATTTTATTGATTATGCTATTACAGTTGTCCCATTTCCCTTCACTGCCCTCCACCCTGTACACCCTCTCCCACCCACATCCCCCCCTTTAGTTCATGCCCATATGTCATACTTATAAGTTCTTTAGCTTCTACATTTCTCATACTATTCTTACTCTCCCCCTGTCTATTTTCTACCTACAATCTATGCTACTTATTCTCTGTACCTTTTCCCCCTCTCTCCTCCTCCCACTCCCCTGTTACTAACCCTCCATGTGATCTCCATTTCTGTGGTTCTGTTCCTGTTCTAGTTGTTTGCTTAGTTTCTTTTGGTTTTGTTTTAGGTGTGGTTGTTAATAATTGTGAGTTTGCTGTCCTTTTACTATACATGGTTTTTTTTAATCTCCTTTTCTTAGATAAGTCCCTTTAACGTTTCATAAAATAAGGGCTTGGTGATGATGAACTCCTTTAACTTGACCTTATCTGAGAAACACTTTATCTGCCCTTCCATTCTAAATGAAAGCTTTGCTGGGTAGAGCAATCTTGGTTGTAGGTCCTTGTCTTTCCTGACTCGGAATACTTCTTTCCAGCCCCTTCTTGCCTGTAAGGTCTCTTTTGAGAAATCAGCTGACAGTCTGATGAGAACTCCTTTGTACATTACTGTCCCCTTATCTCTTGCTGCTTCTAGGATTCTCTCCTTCATTTTTACCTTGGCTAATGTAATTATGATGTGCCTTGGTGTGTTTCTTTTTTTTTTTTTCTTAAAGATTTTATTTGTTTATTTTTAGAGGGGAAGGGAGGGAGATAGAGAGAGAGAGAGAAACATCAATGTGCGGTTGCTGGGGGTTATAGCCTGCAACCCAGGCATGTACCCTGGCTGGGAATCGAACCTGGGACACTTTGGTTCCCAGTCCGCACTCAATCCACTGAGCTACGCCAGCCAGGTTCTTCTTGAGTCCAACTTCTTTGGGACTCTCTGAGCTTCCTGGACTTCCTGGAAGTCTATTTCCTTTGGGGAAGTTCTCCTTTATTATTTGTTCAAATACGTTTTCAATCTGTTGCTCTTCCTCTTCCCCTTCTGGTACCCCTATAATTTGGATGTTGGAACGTTTAAAGATGTCCTGGAGATTCCTAAGCTTCTTGTTTTTTTGAATTCTTATTTCTCCATTCTTTCCTGTTTGGTGGTTTCTTTCTTCCTTCTGGTCCACTCTATTGTTTTGAGTCCCGTTTCCTTCCCATCACTATTGGTTCCCTATGCATTTTCCTTCATTTCTTTTATCATAACCTGCATTTGTTCATCTAATTTGCAACCAAAATCAACTAATTCTGTGAGCTTCCTGATCACCAGTGTTTTTGAACTATGCATCTGATAGGTTGGCTATCTCTCGGTTGCTTAAAAGGATGAGTACTGGGGCACTGATTTGTTCTTCTGTTTGAGCCATCTCGCTCTTTTTTTTTTTTTTTTTTTTTGGTCTGGTCGCTTCTGTTACGGTGAGGGGCGGAGCCTTACGTGTTCACTGGGGCTGGGCACCCCAGTCGCTAGATTGTGAGGTTGTATGTGAGGGCGGGGTCAAGAGGGAACAATGACGGTAGCTCCGTCTCTGTGGGACCTCAGTCCCTTCCCTGGGATCCTGGGTTGCGCGCTCTGCCTTGCTCCACAATCGCGGCCTCACTGGGTCTGCCAGCTGCCGCTTGCGTACTCAGGGTCCACCCGCTGCGATCTTGTGCTCCCCAGATGCCTTACACGCTCCCGGTTGCCTTAGGCGCCCAACTCTCCCTGCTCTCTGCGCCCGGCTGCTCGTCTCCGCCCCTCCTACCGGTCTGGATGAATGGGTCTATTTCAACTTCTTGGTTGTCTGACTTCCATTCAGATAAATTTTCTGTCAGATTTGGATGTTATTCTGCCTCTAAATTGTTGTTGTTCCAATCTTGGTTGTGCATGGAGGTACGGTGTATCCACCTATGCCTCTATCTTGGCCAGAAGTTTCATTTTTCATACTCTTTAAAATGAGATTCACACAAGGCAAGTGTAAAAACAAATGAGTTTTAAACATGATCAAGGCTAACAAGTCCTTTATCAGGATTGTCGCATTTCCAAAAGTATTTTCTTCTGGCTTATAAATTCTTCAAACTCTGTATATAAACACACTGCAACGTGAAGCTCGTGTGTTACTCTCATTGCTGAGTGCCATGCAGATCATAACCACAATATAAATTGATCAAGGATCTGAAGAAAAGTTAACTTAAAAAATGTAAGCCATCAATGCATAACTAGGAAACATGTGTTTTGTACCCATTGATGTGTGAAAATAAAAAACTGCAGAATCTGCAGAAAATGCAATTGACTGCAGATCTGTACATTGAAATGCCACTGATTACAGATTTTAAGGGGAAAAAGCCTGTTAACATATTTCATGGAGGACAAAAACTGTACCTCTCCTGCTGGTACTCAGTCCTACAGTAGGTGCACTTCACAACAGGGTGTGCAATCCGACATTCCTGAAATGAAAGGGGGATATCATTTTAAAAGGCAGTCAGAGATGGAAACGGTCTTCAGTACTCAATAGACCTGGGTACTACTGGCCACTGTGCTTGAGTCACTTGAACTTTTTGGACTTTAGTTTTTTCCTCTAAGATATTGGTATCACTGCCCTGCATTGATGTAGGAGATAAAACAGAATTTATATGGAATTACTCTGTAGTCACTTATTATAAAACAAAGATATGCACGAATAGGCTTTAGACAGGAATGGGAGTCAAAAGCCCTGGATTCTAATCCAGTTCTGCCTCTGCCACTGTGCGATTTTTGAGCAGGTTCACTTACGAAATGAAATTGCTGGGTTAAAATTATTATTGCTTTTTTATATATACATAACTTCCTTTAACTATATATATATATTATATATTATATATATTATATATACCGTAATTTAATATTTTAAGGCCGGCTTGGTGACTTTTAACTGTCGCCTCACACAGCTCTTCTATGCACTTAAATCGACAAAGCCAGATAAAGCAACTTAAACGAAAAAGAGAACTTGGATCTTCAGGGGTAAAAACTGACCAACAGTTGGTTAGGATGGGGACCGAAGGTCACCAACTGGATGTTGAAAAATCATCCTTTTGCTTCGAGCGCTTGACTGTGCGCCTTTTCTAAAAAGCCTCTCCACCTCCGACTCTGAGGCTGGCTGAAAAGTGTCAGTGAAGCGACAGAGTTCGAGACGCTCCTCTCAGGCAGCACCCAACTCTGGAGTTCAGTCCCAGGCAGGGCAAGGGGTCCCTCAGTCTGCAACCAGACATACCCCGGCGGCGGGGAAGCCAGCTAGCTCAAGAAAAAGGATCTCCAGCGCGGCTGGTTGAAGCCAAACGGGGGGCCCGCTGTTCCCTCCCCCGACTGCACAGGGTCCGAGAACAATCCCTCGCGGTTGCTAAGCAGCCGGACACGCCAGCCCAGCCAAGGGGCCCGGGATCGAGTCCGGGACTCCCCCACTTGCCCCACCAGCTCCCTGCGGGGCGGGCGCGGCTCCTCAGCTAGGCGGGCCAGCCACGCCCTGCCCAGGGGACCCCGCCGGGCGTCCCCGCAGAACGTCGGACTCCGGGCCGCGCCTCCAGCGTCCCAGTTCCCGGCCGCCGCCCCAGCCCGCGCACCTTGCACAGCTGCTGCCCCTGAGACAGCGCCTCGAAGGGGAAGCGCTGATGGCACTTGGTGCAGGCGTAGAGCGCCGCCATGTCCGGCCCGGGCCGTGCTCGCCGCCCCGCCGGCTCAGCCCGCCGCTTTATCTGACAGTCTGAAGCGCAACCTGGCAGAGGCGGCGGCGGCGGCAGCGGCGGCGGCAGGTTGCGGGCTGCGGTAGGCGGGAGGGCGGGCGGGTGCGGCTGGACCAGGGCGGGCGCGGCGGCGCTGAGCACCCGTTCACTGGTCATCTCAACGTCCATCAAGCAGGAAGAGGCGGAACACGGAGCTCCTAAGGACTCTGATTCGGTCTGGCTGGTGTACGCCACTCATGACGCGCGAGGCCTCGGTTATGTAAAGCGCAGTCACGCGGGGGCGCTGCTGGGAGGGGACGGTCTTCTGCTTCGACCTCGGAAGCGGCCAGACTCCTCCCACTTAGTTCTTTGTTCCCGCCCTCGTTCCTCCTCTTCCAGGCCGCGGTGGCCTCCGCGCCTCTCGCGATACCTCCGTGGAGTTGTGATGCTTTAATTTCCGTGGGGAGCTGGAGGGGTGCAGTTGAGTCTAGTGCACGACATTGTGGAAGTAGAATTTGGGGACCACTCGGAGCTTGAAGAGGGTGGAGAGCTTGAGAGAACCCCTCCATCATCGAGGCAGGAGGCTCCCGGACAGCTCTCTTGCATGAGAGGCAACTTAAGAGAGATGCCCTCTGTCTGAGACCCTTAAAAAAGGGGGAACTCTTGCCCTGGCTGGTGTGACTCAGTGGGTTGAGCGCCAGACTGCAAGCCAAAGGGTCGTCAGTTCGATTCCCAGTCAGGGCACATGCCTGGGTTGTGGGCCAGGTCTCCAGTGGGAAGCACTCAAGTGGCAACCACATGTTGATGTTTCTCTCCCTCTCTTTCTTCCTCCCTTCCCCTATAAATAAAACCTCTCAAATCTCTCTCTAAAAAAGGGGGGGGTTTCTCTAGAGTCTAGGGTCATTGACCTCCAGAAAGAAAGGAAAGGAGGAAATCCCAGAGAGAGAGAGAACCCCTATATTGGAGAAGAGGGATGCTAGAGTGGTAACAGCCCTCTAGAAGGGAGAAGACAAACAAATATTGCAAAAAATACTGGATTGGCCAAAAAGTCCCTCTATACCATTGCTCTAGGAGTGCTTAGCTGTCTTTAAACCTCATTCAAAACTATTGTAACAGCTGTCACGTCAATGTGCATTAAAAAACATCAAAATTGGTGAATTTTTGTACAGCCATTTTAATATCAAAGATGGATTGGCATATTATGCTTTATTGTTTCAAGAAAGGTAAAAACGCAACTGAAATGCAAAAAAAGATTTGTGCACTGTCTGGAGAAGGTGCTGTGACTGATTGAATGTGTCAAAAATGGTTTGCGAAATTTCTTGTACTATTGACATTTTGGCCAAATCTTTGCTGTGGGGCCATCTTACGCAATGGAAGATGTTTAGCAGCCGGAGATAGCTGACATACTCACAATATCCAAATTAATAAAGTTATTGGTGAAAATGAAAAGTGTCTTTTATTTTATGAAAAAACAAAAAACAAACAAAAAAAAACCATGGACTTTTTGGCCAGCCCAATCCTAAGGCAAAGCCTTCCTGAGAGTCCTCTTGATCCCTCAGAGTGGGATGCAGCTGGCCTGAGGCCTGCATCCTACTTTGTTACCAGTTGCACCCCTAGCTTCTCTTGCAAATAACCACGTGGGGTTTCTTGGCTGGGCCTGCCTGGATACTCTGCCTCTCTTCAACTCCCAGCTTGGCCCATCTAGGGCTGCCCCAGGAATTAACCGATTTATTGTTCTCGAGGCTTTGGCAAAGCTTTCTGCAGGGAATGCTGACCTTTCTTTCCAAGTCTCTGCCCTTGGGCTTAGAGTACTTGGGGCTCTGCTGACTACCTGTATAGCGCTAGTTGAAGTTTTACTTCAATGTGCATTTTTTTTTTACAATTGAGTATGCACTTAAAGCTTCTAGATCCCTGCCCCAACAGAATTTACTCTCTTTAAAACTTAAGCAAGACCCTTCCATGTGTGTTTGCCCAAAAATGTGTATTAATCAAAGGTTTAGGCTCTGGAGTCAGAAAACTAAGGTTCAAAATCACTACTCCACATTTACTAGCTACGTGACCTTGGACCTATAGCTGAACTTCTCAGAGGCTCACTTCCCTCAGTTGTACAATTGGATCTTTTTGAGGATCAAAAACAGAACATGGAGGATAACAGGTAAACTGCTTAATGGGTAAGGGGTCCTACTTTGGAGTGAAGGATGTTTTGGAACAAGGTAGAGGTGGTAGTTGCACAGCATTGTGAACACACTAACTTCCACTGAATTGTTTACTTCAAAATGATTAACTTTATGCTATGAGAATTTCACCTCAAATTAGTTGAAAAAAGAAAAAAAGGATGTAAGCTTGGGAGCCAGACTGCCAGGCTTTGAATCCCAGCTCTATCACTTAGAAGCTTTATAAGTATGAGCACATTAAAAACAAACAAAATAAACAAGAAACATGGAACTTGGTAACTAGATAAATGTTCGTTATTACAAGAAACTTGACTCTAGGGAGATGCTGATGCCCTGGTTCAGGTAAACACAGCACATACCCTGCACTGGGGCAAGAGCCTCTCTGCGTTCCTACTGCCTTCAGTTCTGATCTCCACTGTATTACTTAGCAGTTTTGCAATTCCCTACTTCCATGTTTTTCATAAATCAGATTATGGCATTATGAATAGAAGGACCATATCTGGGCCATCATCCTCTGTATCTCTCACAAGCTTCCCCACTCCACCTTCTTCAGGTTCGAGGTATTGATGGTGAATTAATTCACTAATTCATGCTTTCATCAAACCTATATTGAGTATTTACTTTGTGCCAGACTCTAGCTTAGGCATGGGGGATACACTGGTATGTGAAACAATTGTGATCATTGCCCTGTGAAGCCAACAGTCTAGTGTCAAAGACAGCCAAACAGCAAGGGCTGTGAGTGAAAAGACATGCCACAGGGAGAGAACCCTGTTGGGATGGGGTAGGGGGTGACCTCAAGGTCGACCTTGAGGCATCTTCAAGACAAGAAAGAAAGACCAGTATGGCCAGGGCTCAGCGGGACAGAGGGCGAGTGGAGAGGTGGCAGGGGCCGGAGGTGCAGAGCCTGTAGACCCTGATACGGATGTGGAATTATTTTTCAAAGTGCACTGTATAAAGTAAAATGGGAAAGAAGCCCAAGTTTTTAAGCAGGGAAGTGACAGATTTGGATCTTTAAAAGATTTGCCTGCTTTGTATGAGGAGAATAGGACAGTAGTGGACAAAAATAAGTGCACAGACCACTAAGGAAGCTATTGCAGTTTTCCATGTGAGATGATGGGAAGGTTGCAGTGGAGAACAGTGAACAGGTTCAAGATGTATTCTAGAGATGGAGTCAACAGGACTTGGGGATGGATTTGGTTTAGGAGGTGGCAAGGGAAAGGAAGAAATTATGGTCAGTGTGTCCGGCTATGTGGATGGAGGCATTTCCAGCAAAAGAGAATACTGGAAGGACAGGTTTCAGAGACAAAACGAAGAGTTTCATTTTTGACATATGAAGTTCTAGATGCCTATGGGACATCCCAGAAGAGACATTATATAGGCAGCAGGCTCTAGTCTGTGCATCTCTTAGAAAAGAGGTCGGAGATGAAGACAGAGTTTTGGAGAGATTATGAGTATACAACAAGGTCTGTCCAGAATGTATTCAGCCACATAATATGAAAAATAGAGACACTGAAGAAGATACATAGAACAATGATGCCTCAGTCTCCAAAGTCAGCACCTTGGGACCTCACACAGTTCTCCCAATGCAGCATGATGTTCCTTCTGCTCTGGTAGCAGAAGACACAGGATGAATTTTGCCATGACATGTTTCACACCAAAATCCTACATCGAAATCTCAGACACAGTAATTTGTGGAATCTCCAGATTAACTTCCAGTTCTTGCACTGCCAGACACTGATCTTTGTTGACTGCAGCCCGCACATGTTCAACACTCTCAGGTGTTCTGCTTGTTGCAGGCCTTCCAGATCCTCAACCACCTTTTAAGCATTCATGCCACATTTTTATTTGCCCTACACTCATTGTATCATCCCCAAAAGCCTTTTGAATCATCCAAATAATTTCCACAGAGGAATGTTCAAGCTTAACACAAAATCTGATGCAGATTTGTTGCTCTACTCACTTGGTCATTTTGAATGTGATTGCCACACAGCACACATACTCACTCCATGACCTACCACCCCCACTGACTAGTACAGTGAAGTCGTCATTGTTCATGCATGTGCATTCCAGTCCACTCTCCTTGGCTGCAAGATTACATCAATGTTGCACAAACCAACTCGTTAAATTAACAATGGCTGGTCTTTTTCTGGATAGACCTCGTATGTGTGGTGTTTAATGCCCTGAGACTGGATGACGTTAGCTTGGAAGTCCGTAGAGGGAGGTGAGCAGTGCTCCTTCCTGAGTCGAGAGGAAGTCCATTCAACACTTGCAGGTCTCTTCAGGAAGAGATGCATGCAAAGCAGCCATGAGAAAGACAGTGCAGAGAGGAGAGTTTTTGCAGAGGTCAAGAAAAGAGCAGGAGACATGAGTCAACAGTTACTGGAGACTAAAGTGGGGGCAGTGACTGATATTATCTGAACTGACCTGAGCACACACCTGTGTTTGCTGAATGTTTGCCCTGTCAGACTTGTCCCTTCTCTTATCTAGTCTTCCTCCATGTGTCTTTGGCAATAGCAGTTGGGTGTGCCCCTGAGGGAGAAGTGGAAGAGAATATTTCTAGTGGTATTGTTCATAGTAGCTAAAGAAAAGGGGGGAAAGGAAGTAACTATTGACAGAATAATAAATAAGTTGTGCTGTGCTCAGGGTACCATGGAAGTCCAGAGCGTAGATACAGCTCAACTGGGTCAGCTCTCTCAGAGTGTCATGGCATGCCTCCTATCAGAATCTTCAGAAAATGTTCATGTTGAAAAGGATGGTGGCTCTGGCCATCATGGCTCAGTTGGTTGGGCATCATCTGGCAAACCAAAGGGTCACGAGTTTGATTCCCAGTCAGGGTACATGCCTGGATTGCAGGCCAGGTCCCCAGTTGGAGGCATGTAAGAGGCAAGGAATCGATGTTTCTCTCTCACATCAATGTGCCTCTCTCTCTCT